GTTAGAAAATCCTTCCATAAGTGGTGATTCAATTTCTGTCTCTTCATACCAAAAGTGAGGTCAAGATGGTGGTGGAACTGGAATAGAATGAGAATTGCAAAACCTAAGTGAACTTGCCTAAGCTCTCACAGTGTGTAAGTGGAAGAGACTGTATTGTTTGAGGATCAGTCCAGAAAGCTGAGAGAGGCAGGAGCTTGGAGGTGAGAAGGAGAAGATGCACAGGTGGTGTCAACGCCATGCTTCCAAAGGGCTGCCTACCATGTTGTTCTCTCTTCCTCTGGAGGCTTCAGTTAGAACCAATGGATAGAAGTGCAAGGGAGACAAATGTCATCTCAGCAAATGGTAGAACTTGTTAACAACCAGAACTGCCTCACACTGGAAAGTTGAAAGCCCCCATCTCAAGGAATAGGCAAGTAAGCAAGGAGGAATTTCAGCACGGGATAGGGTTGGGTTATACAATCTCTAAAGGTTCTTTGAACCTTGAGAGTCTATGGTGGGTCCTATGAGCGTCTTCTGTTAGTTTCCACCCTAACATACATCCTGCTAAAAGGGGTTCCTCGCCTTTCACAGCTACTGAGTCATACTCATGCCTCCGACCCAGCTTCTCCTTTTCTCCTGGTTTGCTTGCAAACCTCTGTTTGTGGAAGAACTCTCAATCCACTATTTGCTACAGGAGAATGTTGGGATTTCTTCAACTGAATACGGCAAGTGGGAGAGAGGAAAAGCACGAGCAGTAGATTCTGAGTAAGAATTCTTGAGTTTAAATCTCAGCTCTTCCACTTACACACTGTGAGCTCTTAGGCAAATTCACCTGGGTTTTGCAATTCTCGTTTTATTCGTATGTAAAAGTACAATAACAATAGTACTAATAACCTGTCTTACAGAGTTGATAAAAATATGTAACACCTGGTTTTTGAGTCCTAATGACAGCACTAGATTATTTACATCCCTTATTTTATTTACTACTTCTAACAACCCCATGATATATAGTGTCTATAAGTCCTATTTCATAGATGACAAAACTGAGGTTTAAAGAGATAAAAGCATTTGCCTAAATGTTGAAGCAAAAATTCAAATCAACCGAGTCTAATTCAATAGGCTGATCACTTTATAAAGCCAGACAGTTGTCAAAATTAAGTGAACTGTCATATATTATACTGGACTTAATAGAGGGTTTGGCACATGATAGGGACTCAGTTAGTTCTCCTCTACTCATATCCTTGTGACTTAACTCTTCTAAAAACTCCAGTGAACCAACATTCTTCTTTAAATGTTATGCCTGTGTTGCCTTCCTCCTCAGGCTGGGCACAAGATGGAGGCAGCAGTTCCACAATCAAATCAAGACGCCACAAAATGTTCTTGTTCTTTCTCAGGAGCCAGAAAACTCTTCCTAGAGGGCCCCCCACCCCCACGTTTTACATAACAGAGTTGAGTTCACAGTCTTATTCCCAAACCGATCACTGGCAAAATGAGAGATTGATTGAGTAACCCTTGAGCCAACCGCTGGAGGTAGTTGGCTTCCAAAATCCGCCTTTTGCTTGGAAGGAAAAAGGAGGTAATTGATGCTGATAGGTTAGCAACTGTCTCCTCTCTACCCCTCTTCTCCTGATGAGAAAGCTGAGGCTTAGAGGGGTTTAATTAATATGTCTGGAGTCCAAGGGCAGGGGCGGGGCTGCAGCAAAGGAAGTGTGTGGCCAAGGTGGTTTTTAGGTAAGGAACAGGCTTGGGGCCATGGCAGGATGTGGAGAGGATTTAGGGCAGTGGTTCTCTCCTATGCTGCCCATGTGGGTTACTTTAAACAGCACTGATGTCCAGATCTCACCCCTAGAAATTCTGATTTACTTGATCTGGGGGGCAGCCTGGGCATTAAGATATTTAAAAGCTCCCCAGGATATTTCAATGTGCAGCCAAGGTAAGAACCACTGGTTTAGGAGGAGAGCTGTTGCAAGGTAGAAGGGTGGAGGCCAAAGGCATGGAGACAACAGGGTAACAAGGAGCCTGTCTCCTTCTTCTCCCCATTAACTGCTACCACTTACTGAAGACTCCCATGTTCCAGGCGTAGCTGTGCCCCTGACATGACGTCTAGTAGGCAGTCAGTAATTGAATGAATCACAGATGCTTTGCTCATAGAACAGAACATTTTCAAACAATCTCCACAAAGTGATAATGTTCCCATATTACAGAGGAAATGACAGAAATGGTAAGAAACTAAGTCTGACTCCATGCTCTCCAGGTCCTGTTGTCAGGCAAAGAAATCAGGAGTCTGAGAAGCAAAACTGGGCCTTGGAGAGCAGGGGCGTTGAAGGACGAGCAGAAGGCCTCCTCTCCTCACCCCTCCCTCCTCTCCTCTCTCTTTCTTCCCCTGAGAGCCTCTCCCAGCATCTCACTCTGTCTGGGACCTCCCCACCTCCCCTCCCACCTGCCTGGGAACATGGGCCTCCTGGGAGAGAGGGGAAAGGACTGAAGCTTCCTGACTGAGGCCTGGGTAACAGTCAGGACAAAATCCTCATTTCTGAGAAAACCCAGGGGCAGGAAAAGGACATGACCCAGTGAACTGGGAGGCTGGGATCTAGCCTGGACTCAGCGCCTCACTTGTGGCGTGACCTTCAGCAAGTCCCTTTCTATTTCTGGCCTCCAGTTTCCTCATCTGTAACATGAAGAGGTTGGTCCGGAATCTATAAGCCATTAGCTCCAGTGCTCTTAGGTCCTGGCAGCTGATGTACACTAATGGGGCAGGCTGGGGACTGTGGGCAACTAGCAAGCACAGGCCCTGTCCGCAAGGGTGGGAACTTACTGAATTCCTGCCTGTTGTCACCGTAGAGGTGTGTGGGCTCAGCATTGTGAGAGCATCTGGTTTGTTTTTCAAGAAACTCTAAAGTATCTCTATTTTATGTGCAATCTCCTGGCTAACCTGTTAGTTAATGATAGTAATAAACTTGTGCAAAACAAACAAAACATGAATGCGGACTGAATGAAACGGCTGCTGCTGTTTGATCTGTGGGCTAAACGGTCTATAAGGCCCTAACTCTTGCATTCTGTGATTTCTAAAAGAAGGGATATCTGACCTCATATTGTGGAAAGCAAACACTGGCATTTCTGTTCTAACTGAAAAGGGAATCAACCCAAATGGCATAATCCTCATTATTAATTCCTGGGACTTTGTTATGCATTTATTTTGGGGGTCCCTGTGAAAATGAACCCCTCTCCAAAACTCTTGATGATCCCACGTTGAAAGCTAAGGCCCACCCGCTTTATGGAGAAACAGTGCCCTCTGCTGGAAGAGTGGTGCAGGCAGCCACCTTTGGCACTGAGATAATTTAATATTGGAAAGAGTGGATTTGTTTGTTTTCCCTTGAAATAGATTTAATGAAGAATAATAAATAAAATAGAAATGCATATTTATGAATGGTTTGATGTATGCTAGGCAGAAATTGGGCTTTCATGTATCCATTTGGGAGCAATTACTCTTAATCTATCAAAAAAAAGTCCAGGATTAGAGAAAGGAAGAAAACATTTGTTACGTCGACTGACGGCAATCTGGAATGGGCAGACCAGGAGAGGAAATTGAAGTCTATGTCTCCAGACTGTGTCCTATAAAATAAGAACCTTTATAATAATGTATTGCAAGCTTATAAGTTTTAATGGTTACTTTCACTGCATTCTTTTAATAGATCTCCCCAGTAACGACTCTCCAAAGCAGGTATTATTATTATCTTCCTTTGACAGATAAACACAATAAGGTCCCAGGAGTTTGAGTGACCAGATGGAGATTCCTTCACAATTAAATGACAGAGACAAGCTTAGGTAAGTTGCTTAGGCTCTTTAAACTTCAATTTCCCAATTTGTAAAACATGGATAAAAACAGTATCTACATTTGCAACAAGAATTAAATGGGAATATATTTGCAAGACACTTAGCACAATGCATGGCCCAGAGTGAGCCTAGTACTTACTCTGTGTTAGCTACTACCACCAACCCAATGCTCACAGCCCAGGTACTCTGACGACTCATCCTGTGCCTTGTCCACTACATTGAGCAATACCTGGAATGGTCAAAAGAGGGGCCACAGTCCTGATGGAGTTGGTAACAGTGGCCCCAAACCCTAAAAATGTAGTCCATCTTTTTTGAACATTAGTGACTTTGTCAATAGCAATTAAGATCTTGAGTTGCATTATAAAAATAGATTGTTCTAAAAAAGAGAAGTTATGGCTCCATGAATGGTGCACCATCCTCACCATGCCGGAACTGTTGTGCAGACTCCTAAGCTCACATTTTTATAAGAACAGTGACATGCTAAACGATATTCAAAAACAAGAGGTAAGGGGTCCAGGAACCACATCCAAGAGGAATTGTTGAAGGAACTGGGGATATCGGGCCTGGAGAAGAGAATGCTTAAGGAACACATTCATGTATTCATTCCTTTATTGTTCATTCATTCTACATTTGCCGAGTGCTTCCTCTGTGTGTGGCACTGTAACATGTGCTGAGGATATAGCGAAACAGACATTAATGTCTGGTCTCATGAAACCTAATCTAGACATGATCAAAGGATAATAGGGGGTTGTCATGTGGAGAATTAGCCTTGCTCTGGGTGAACCCATATAACAGAACCAGGGCTACACAGAAAGTAGAATTGGGTAGAAATCTTAAACTGGAGGGGCTGGCTCAAATGTGAGGACTACTTATTGCTGAGAACATCGTGGATGAGTCTAGAAGGGCACTGGGAGGTTGTAGAAGGGATTGGAGGTGGGGTTGGCTTGGGGTAGGATTTGGCCTTCTTAGTTCCTAGACACCGTGGATGCACTGACTGAGCCCAGACTGCTCTGGGAAAGCCTCTAAGGCAGCCACTCGTCCTTTCACTCTGGAATGAAGAACAAGGACCTGACACCTCTTAGTCTGGGCCTCCTTTCTTAAGCTCTGTCGTCTTGGTGGTCCAGTGATACTGTGGTCCTTTCTCTTCTGCTCACAGAAAATTCTTCTGTGCAGTGTCCCTTAAACACAGAACAGGAAATAAATTGGTAGCAAAAATCTTTAATATAGGACATGAATTTTTCAAAAGTGCGTTATAAAATAAATTCATCTTGATTATCAATAAAATAGGAGCAAAAAATAAGCAATAGGAGTGAGGGAGGGAAATCACCCAACGATAACCACTGCCTACAGTATTTCCTTCCTTCCCGTTTAAGATTTGATTTTATTTTTTAAGTACATAGGATCACACCAAATCATGCTGTTTCACTTAGGATTATTCAAAAGAAGTTTTTCTTTAAAAGCTATTATAAGCTTTTATTTGTAATCCTATATTGAGTTGCATGCTTATGTTATTATATAATATCATATTGAGGAAATACACTGTAGTTTATATGTCCATTCTCCTAGCATTGGCCATTTCCAATTTTTGATGTTATAAAGAGTTCCCAGATCTAAACATTCTCTGACTATCTGAAATATGAAAAAATACTTGTACATAAGAATGTTTGTTGTGGTTTTTCAATTCCTATCAGCACACTCCCACACCCCCCACCACACGCACACACACGTACACATAACACACACACACACCCCTAACTACTTACTCTTTACTGAACAAGCCAAAGTCTCTTGACATGGCCCATGCTATTCCCCTTTCTGGAATATCCATAACCCACCACCCACCCTAGCACACTGGCTCATGGTTTAAGATCAAGCTCAAACAAATGTCATCTGCTTTGTGAGGCCTCCCTCTCAGCTCTCTAAGGCCCCTCTTCTCTGACCCACCGCACTTCTCTCTTATCTCTCTGTCAACTGAGCAAATGAGACATTTGATTAGCTACTTAGAAGGTTAGTGAGTCACCACACTGCTGGCCAATTTCTATAAGGGAAAGGGTCTAGCATCAGGGCTAGAAAAGTCACGCATGCGTGCATCATGCATGTATGTAAAAGCATTCCTCTTTCCTGTCCTTTCTGGATTAGTTAGCATTGTTCTTACAGGATTATGGCACTGTGGTGCAGGGAAAGCACTGTGGTCTAGTCCTCGGTTCTAATCCCCCCTCCCACCTTCTTCTAACACATCTTGAATAAAAACCATATCATCAGGCACTGAATTGGGCTCTAGAAATGCAAAACCAAACAAGATGTGGTCCCTGGTCTTTAGAAACCTAGAGTTTAGTGAAGATGACAAACACATCGATGTAAAAGTGCACAGAATCTGCACAGGAACTGGGATAAGAAGTCCATATAGGCTATGGGTTCTGGGGAATACAGGAGGAAATGGTGTGTTCTGTGGGGCGAGGGGGGGATTAGTGTTGGGTGGGGAGTGGGCAAAGTACCAGTAAATGCCCCCTGGGTGGACCAGAGAGGAAAGTGCATATGCAACCAGATAGTGTACTAAGAGATCCACCTCAGTGGTCAGATCCAGGTTCCCACTATTAGTGGATGATATGAGGATTAAATTAAATGAGATAACATGTGCAACGTGCTTAGCTCCATGACTGGGTCTTAGCATGAGTTCAGCCAAGGGCAGCAGTGCCAGATTGTCTCTTGGCCATTCAGTACCATTTCTGCCCTTCTATGTTCCCCTTTGTAACAAGGGTATTGGAAGCCTAGCAGCTATCTCCTGCAAAATCCCTATTCCCAGAATGTATTAGTTTGCTAGGGCTGCCATAACAAAGTCCCAGAGATCGGGTGGCTTTAACAATAGAAATTTATTTGCTCACAGTTCTAGAGGCTAGAAATCCAAGATCAAGGTGTTGGCAGCATTGGTTTCTTCTGAAGCCTCTCTCCTGGGCTTGTGGATGGCCACCTTGTCTTCATGTCTTCACTTGGCTTCCCTCTGTGCCTGTATTCTAATCTCCTCTTTTTATAAGAATACTAGTTAGATTGGATTAGTGTCCACCCACATAACCTCATTCTACTTTAATGTCTCTTTAAAGGCCCTATCTCCAAATACTACAGTCACATTCTGAAGTACTGGGAGTTAGAGCTAAACATATGAATTTAGGGGGGACACAGTTCAGCCCATAACACAAGAGTTTCTGGATTAGAAGTATACATGCAATATTTTAAAGGCAGAAGAGAAGCAAAAGCCATTATTTTGGTTTGGGGCAGGTGGCAGGCATAAGATTTTTCCCTTTGACTGCAATTTGCAGACATCCTCTTGCAAATTGCTCACTTTGCTGCTGCAGACAGCCTAGAGCCCTAGCTAGCGGAGCTTCCTGCCATTGCTGCACTTCCTCATTTCCTGAACACTGGCAGTGGTTCCCCTAGCCTTTGTTTTCCTGGTTCTTCCAACAGCTTTGCAATCTTCTAATTTCCTGTATAAAATTCATTCCCGTTTGAGATACCTACAGTGGCTTTTGCTTTTTTTTTTTTTTTTTTTTTTGGCTTTTGCTTTTGACTAAACCCCAGAGGCTCCAGTTGCTATTATTTCAAGTGGAATGGGAAGGTGGGCGAGTAGAAGCGAGTTTCAAGGGAACCGTTAAAGAGAAGAGAGTGGCAAGTCAGGCATGAACAGATCCTGCAGAAACTGGCATGTAACTTGAAATTTATCCTATGGTCCAGAACATTATAAATTTTTCCCATGGAAATAATCTCTAACGAAAAAAAAAAAGAATAAATTTGCATTCCCCAAGGTCTGGCATCAACTGCTTACAACTAAGTGAATTTTTTGAAATCTTTCAACTCATCCAAATTTTTCATCTTGGCTATAATATATTCATTTGTTTTAATATAAAATAATATTTTTCATTACTAGCCATCAAGAAAAACTAGCATTCTAAAGTGATAGTATGTTTATCCTATGGCTTTGAGTACTGTCTGGGACCCAGGCACACGCCACAGTCTGAGAAGCACGGCCCAAGGCATTGTGGAGACATTGAATGGCTTTGAGGAGCAAAGTAAAATAAAGAAATTGCTTTTCTAAATGATCCCTGTGCTGCTGTGTGGAGGCGGGGAGATATGATAGAAGGCTGTTGTAATAATCCAAGTGAAAAACAATGAGACATTGACGGAAGACCTGGTAGGGAGGATAAAATGAAAGGAGCCAAGACAGGTAACTGAGAGAGCTTGGGAGGTTCGCTTCACTTCTGGAATTCAGCAGAATACACAGGCTGAATCATATGACAGACAATATCTCCCCCAGTCCAAAGACCCTGTAATATCTCTCTGCTTGTCTTTACTCTCCCTTGTGCTTGCTTCTTAATTTATTACAAATAGTCATCGTTTATTTCACTCAAAGGCCAGCTAAGGGAACATTTGCTGCTAGTTTTGCCAACTAGACAAAATTGTATAGACATGTCTATTTTAAAGGAGACAAGTAAGTTCTAGATATAAGAAGCAGTGATATTTTGATAAAGGTTTCTAGTGATTTCTAATTCTAATTTTATAACGTTACCCAGCATACAAAAGGCACTCAATAAATAACTGTTGAATTACCCCCCCCAAATGAACAAATGATGAGTTACATATCTCAAAGCATTCAGATGCTTCTATGAGAAGCCTTCCCTTACATGATCTGTGCAAACGTATCTCATCTTGATACTCCAGCAACAATTCAGGGCCTTGTCATACATGTGCTGTTTCTTCTGCTCACTGTATCCTTTGCCTCTCAGCCCATCCAATCACTTGTCATAACTCAGTTCTGACACACTCACATAGTCAGAGAAGAGTGTAGCTATGTAAAATGAACATGGGCATTACAGTAGCATAGACCTGTGTTCACACTCAGGCTCTCATACATATAGTGAGAAGCTATCCCAGAAGCTCTTTCTCTTACACTTTTGTTTCACTGGGTGGTAAGTAAAACAAGAAAGAAAAACTGACCAAAGCCATCATTTTCCATAGTTCATTTTCCATGAGCCACATTTATTCAGGCAGATCAACCTGGTGACAGCACCAAGCTTTATACTTGGCTTTATTGAGTATCTTAAACTGCTGCCCATGTGACAACCTGGCCATGAGTTGAATAGTAAATGTATCTGATGACACAAAATCTCAGCTATGGATGTACCAGAACTTTAACTTCATCCTGTTTCTGGATTTCAACTGGGTCAGTCATGTTCCCTAAGCTTGGGCATTGCTGTGCTGGAGGGGTCTGTAGTTTGGTTGGCCAAAGCTGGGCAGGGAAACTTGAGAACTCCCATCATTCACACTCTGTTATTTGGCGCTCAGTGAGGCAACTATGGCAAGACAGTGGGGAGCCAACTGGAAGGGTGGAAGCCCTCATCCTCCCACCAAACCTGCACCTTCACCTCGTGCCTGAGACCATCTGGTTGACCCACCAGGCTCATGATGTTTCTTTCCACCCATTGTCAATACCTTGGCCTTTGAATTCACAGATACATTCAGCTGCCACCTACACTCTCAAGCCTGTTTTCCAGAAGAAACACAGAAATACCTGAATTGTACTTTTGTCATTATACATACAGAAGCTTGAACAAAATAAAATGTACCTAAAAGGCATGAAATTATAAGCACTGTGAAACAAACTTCAAGGGGATACCAAACCTATTTATATACAATACAGTTTTCACATGGCAAACTCAGCATCAGCAAGACCATCCTCTACTAAAAAGTAATTTGTGAGACATACTAGATTTCAGTCTTTAAGTAAATTTCGTAAACTATCTCAGTTTCAGTTTCTTCAGTATAACTTGTGAACAGTAATATCCATTGTAAGACCTCAATAGAACATATTAATTTTTTTTTTTTTTTTTTGAGGCAGAGTCTCACTTTGTTGTCCAGGCTAGAGTGAGTGCCGTGGCGTCAGCCTAGCTCACAGCAACCTCAAACTCCTGGGCTCAAGCGATCCTCCTGCCTCAGCCTCCCGAGTAGCTGGGACTACAGGCATGCGCCACCATGCCCGGCTAATTTTTTATATATATATCAGTTGGCCAATTAATTTCTTTCTATTTATAGTAGAGACGGGGTCTCGCTCTTGCTCAGGCTGGTTTTGAACTCCTGACCTTGAGCAATCCGCCCGCCTCGGCCTCCCAAGAGCTAGGATTACAGGCGTGAGCCACAGCGCCCGGCCTAACATATTAATATTTTATATATGTGTATATATATATGTGTGTATATATAAAATATGCCTGGCACACAGCAGATGCTCAGTAAATAGTGTCTATAATCATACCTCAGTAAACGCTACCTTTCACAGACTGTGTTCCCTTCCTCAGTACTAGGCATACAGAATTTCCTTACCTATTAAGTGGGGAAAATCATATCAAATTCATAGAATTGTTAGGGCTAAATTAGGTGAGACATACATTTTTTAGAATTCTTAAGAGTTCTAAAAATAAAAAAGTGTTATCACAATTCTCGTTTGCACCATGTTAAAACTTACCATGCTTGCATTAGAGTTCTAATTGCATGTTCATTGTATGTCTTCATGCAGCTATACATTCCTTGAGTTTTTCATGTATATTTGGGGAAAAGATGGTGAATAACCTGCATTCAGTATCTACCATGGATCAGGCTTTGTGAGGTGCTTTTCATACATTATTTCCTTGGATCCTCCTCCAAACTCTGTAAGAAGATATCAGACCCCCATCACAAGATGATGACAGGCCAAGAACCCTGGACCGGGTATGATGCCATACTCTTTGCATCACATCTCTGCACTGTAGCCTAGGACCGAGGCCAAAGCAGGTGTTCAATACATGTAGAAGAATGCTCCCATGGATTTAGGAGGCCCCTCCTTGCCACCAAATGCTTACTAAGGCTCAGCACTTGAGAGCAAACACTCTGAAGTCAAATGCCTTGGCTCTTCCACTTCGCAGCTCTCTGACTTTTGACAAGTTCTTAACCACTCTCTGCCTCAATTTAAATCAATTGTAAAGTGGAAATCATGACAGCATCTCCCTCATATTATGTTTGTTTTGAGAATAAAAGAAAATAGTGTATATATAGATTATTTTGCATAGTGCCTGGCATAATATAGTAAGTGTAAATGCTCAATACATGTCACTCCTGAATAATTGGCTGTCAGATCCCCTGAGCAGAACTGCTGGAAAGACTCAGGAAGGAAGCTGCCCATCCAGCATGGCAGGTCAGAGACCTGGGAGCCCACAGGAACTTGGGTACTATTGCCGGTGAGAAGTGAGGCCCATTTCCAGCTGTAACAGTCCCACAGTTGACAAGGGGATGGTGTTCATTTCCTTCAAAAGTTGTTTTGTTCTCTTTCCAAGGCTTTAGGGCAAATGCTGGCTCAATAGGAAGCTCTCTGAAGCCGTGAGTCAACAGTCACTCATGCTAAAAGGTGAATCACACGCCAGAGTGTGCAGTCCACAAATGGTGTGGGGGTGGTACCTCTCATAGAGACTGATGATGCCCCTTAATGAGTTGTTTGTGATCACAGGCTGCTCACGAGCATTCATGAGAACAGATGTGCCAATTAATTTCTCACGGCCCCTCCACGCTCCTTCAGAAAGGGCACAAATCTTGCTCGAAAATATGTTGAACTTGGGAATGAGGAGCGTCATTTTTCTCGTCCCCCAGGCCTTTTCAAAAGTTGGCCTGGCTAGGAGTCAGAATGAAGAGTCGGAGATTTGGATATTTCTAGGACGTGTGCTATTCATATTGAGGTAAAACAAGAGAATTTCTGAAAAGCTTACTGGAGGGGGGATTTGGGAGCCAGGGGCAATTTTAGTGTTATGATAGCCTCGCCCCTAAATTTTTACTCAGTTATAAACATTTTACCAATGCCTTGGGGGTACTGAGTCTTATTCTGTATCTGTGACACATAGATCTGTGAAGTCTGGCACTGGTGATGTGCCAAAGTGCCAGGGTTTGAATTTGAGTTTGGGGCAAGTTATCTAATTTCTCAGTGCCTGGATTTCCTCAAAGAGAATATGGGGACTTCAAAATACCTACCTGGTAGGGTTGTTGCGAACATTCATTTGTCTACTGCCATGCTACCCAAAGTGGGATCTGAGGCCCACACTGGTCTACAAACTGTTACCAGTCCTTTATCAGTTAACTACAGAAAGTGAGAGCCACCTTTTAGAAACCTTTGTAGCAATCACGCTTTACCACAACGGTTTTAGTATATTCTACAAAGTATCAGTGCATAGTAGATAAATAAAAAAAAAATGTAAAACATTATGAGGAAGACCAAGCTAGAAAACTAGAGAGGCCAATGGGGGAAGAGATGCTCAGTCAGTCCCCACATAGACCAGTCATCTCAGCCTGGGTGCCAGAAGTGAGTGAAGAAGTCTTCAGAAGATTCCAGAGCCAGCCACCATCTCTGACTATAACTATGTGAAAGACCCTCAGTGAGAACCACTCAGCTAAACAGAACAGTGAGAGAAGATTATTTCACATGTACACCACTATGTATGTTTTGGAATGATATGTTAAGTAGCCAGAGATAGCCAGAGCATTCTGCTAGGGTAAAATTTTTGGTCTTTCTACCCCTTACTAACTTATCAGTGATTGGTGGCTTGGCAATAGTTTAACCTCCATTAGTTTACAATCCTGTATCAGCCAAGGTTAAGTAGTCAAGACTGCTGTTCCCACATGGCTGTTTCTTCCCATTCCATGATCTATAGCCTTCTCCTTCTACTCTGCAAGGGGACTGGCTTTTTCTTGGGGGAGGGCTGCTTGCCTAGCCAATCCTGCCTGTGATTGGGTGGGTAAGTATGAAGAAGCCAATTTTGCTTTGGGTCTAGGCTACTTTCTCCAGTCCTGATCTGATACATTGATCACCTTCTCTTTGCCTCAATTGGTTCAGAACCAACAGCAGGTAGTATCTGGATTGGCACTTCAGAGAGACGCCCAGCTCCCTTATAGCTCTGACAATAGCAGAATAAATGGTTGGGTATTAGGCAGACTCCTAATTTGTCCTATGTTCTTGCTTCTATGCAATTCTTGCCCATATTGCTAATAACGTGTTTAATTTCCCCAAAGTTACAAATGAGCTAAACCAATTATAATCATGGTTAGTAAGTTTGCTGGTTTTCTCTTGACTCTTTTGATGGATTGCTTACATTATTTCTTGCAAAGAGCAAGACAAAAACTTTCCACGAAAGCCAAGTTGATAAACAAAGCCCCAGAGACTGCCATCACATCCTCTGCAAGACTCAAACGCAATCTCTAATTTCCTCAGTCACCATGAGGCTAACCATGTGCATCTGCTTTATTGAATTCTTTTGTGCCTTTATTATTTTTTCAGTTACTGTTTTATTGCATCCAATCCTTCTTTCTGCTCAGGACAAAGGAGGAGAATGGAAATTCTGTTAAGGTCACAAATATGGCTTTTTTTTTTTTTTTGCCTATTCTTCATGATGATTTTATTTCATTTATTCATGCATTCACCCAGTCTTTCATTCAGTGAGTCTTTATTGGGGGTCTTCTCTGAGCCGGGGCTTGTGCTAGGTCCAGAGCATATAAATAAATGAATAAATATCTAGTAAAATGAATTAGTTATTGCAATATACATTATCTTAGTTAATCCCTGCAAAAACCCTGTGAAGGGGCCTATCATCTGTGTTTTACAGAAAAGGAAGTTAAAGCCCATGCAGGTTAAGTAACTTACCTAAGGTCCCACAGCCAGGAAATAGCAGAAACAAGATATGAAGACGGGTCTGTATGGGTCCAATTCTATCTTCTCTCTACCCTGTAACACACAGAAAAATATCTATAGAAAGAGTAACTCCACACCTAACATTTTGTTGCTGATTGTAGGCATGGTCATTTGACATTTGATCTGAATGCTACTGAGAAATGAGGCTGCTATCAGCACTTTAGGTAAGTTATAAGTCAGGATTCTGCTCAGAAATCCTACTTGAAGTGGATTAAGCCAAAAAGCTAGGAGTGGGGATTGCTGGCCAAACTACAGAAAGGACAGGGGTGCATCTGATGTCAGGGACAACTGGAGCCACAGACTCCGATCCCATCAGTGCTGTCTGTCATCCCAGCTTCTCTGTGTGATGACTTCACTCTTCCTGATCAGCATCCTGTGTGTGCACCCAAGTTCTGGCAACCTCATGACCAGAGATCGAGGGGCTCCTTTCCCAGAGAAAACTGAAAAAGTCCTAGAGAAAGACTCTCATTGACCTGATTTGGGTTGTTGTGACCAAGGAGATAGACTGTGACAATCGGCTCTGCCAGAATAGCAGACATGGATGGGTAACCACTAGTGAGCCAGGTCAAGAAAAAGTTCAGTTTATAAAGTGCAAATCACTTTTGCAAGGAGCTCTACAATTGGTCATCAGAACTAGGATGGCTGCACAGCAGAAAAGTTAAATGCTATTAGCAAGATCAGTTCCAGGATGAAGCAAATGAAATGGATATAATAATATGAGCATCATATATGCCAGTCTAACCACAGAGCAATTACCTTTAATGTAGACTTTAAATGTTCACCAAAGCAGTGTTTAAAACAGAGAAGAAAAAACACTGGAAATGACATAAATATTCAACAATACAGGAGCCATTAGGTAAATTCTAGTTTGTACTGTCCCTGAGTATGCAACCATGAAAAATATATTTATGCAGAGTTTAAAATAATAGGGAGAAACATGTACACAGATATTCATAGCATTATTCATAACAGAAGAAACATGGAAGCAATCCAATCATTCAACTGAAGAATGAATAAACAAAATGTAATAAAATTGAATATTGTAATATTTGACAATGAAAAGGAATGAGATACTACATGCTACAACATGGATGAACCTTGAAAACCTTATACTAAGTGACAGAAGTTACTCACAAAGGACAGCCTGTTGTATAATCCCACTTATACCAACTATCCAGCATAGGAAAATCTATAGAGACAGAAAGTCAATCAGTGGTTGCCAGAGGCTGGGAGGAGGGGAGAAATGGGGAATGACTGCTGAGGGGATTTCTTTTTGGGGTAAAGACAACATTTAAAAATTAGATAATGGTGATGATTATACACTCTATAAATATGATAAAAACTGAATTATATATCATAAACTATGAATTTTAGGGCATGTGAATTATATCTTAATAAAATTATAATTAAAATATAAGACCTTTATTAGGGAAACAATAACAAAAAAATAGGGAAAATGATGATGGCCTAATAATATTAAAAGACAAAAAAACAGGTGTTATGGACTGAATGTTTGCATCCCCCCAACATCTATACGTTCAAGCCCTAACCTCCAGTGTGACGGTGTCAGGAAGTAGGGCTTTTGGAAGATGATTAGGTTCATATTAGGTCATGAAAGTAGGACCCCTGTGTTGGGATTAGTACCCTTATAAGAAGAGTAAGAGAGAGAGAAATCTGTCCATGGAACATACTGAGGAAAGGTCATATGAAGGACAGAGCAAGAAGGCACCATCTATGAACCAAGAAACAGGCCCTCACCAGACACAGATCACATAGCACCTTGGTCTTGGACTTCCCAGCCTCCAGAACTGTGATAAATAAATCTCTGTTGTTTAAGTCTGTGGTATCCTGAGCTGAATATAACAGCCGGATACAAAATCCAATATAATCACAACTATGCAACACAAATGTGCAAAATGAAAAATACATCTAAAAAAGGCTAAAAATGTTAATTCTGTTCTCTTTGAGTGATGCGGATACTTCTTTAAACTTCTATGTTTTAAAATGTTTATAAAACAGCTAATAGTAGCTAACATTTACTGGCCACTTACTCCACGCCAGGATCCAGGATCTCAACTGGTCCTCGCAGTAATCCTATGGGGCAGGAGCTGTAAATTCCTATATTTTACATATGGGAAATGTAAGACCCAGAGAGGCTGAGTAATTTGTTAATGATCACACAACTGGTACATGGCAGAGTGGAATTCAAACTTCAGTCTGTCTGAATCTACAATTCATGTTTTTTTTTAAGTGCAAAAAGCAATAAACGTCATATTCTCCCCTGCCCTAATCACAAATGTACACTCCAAAAAATGTTACACTGCCACAGAATTTTAACCTTCAAATTTGTGCGTGCACATTTTGATACTGACGGGAAGACAATGAGCCTACGGGGGTGGCTCGAAAGTTCAGGCTGCCTGAGGGAGGAAAGTCTCACTCTGAGGACAGGAACCGGACACTTACAGGACACTTAGTGACTTGTTTCATCCAAGTCACCCTCTTTCACCCTTTCCAGCTTTTGTTTTCTTTCTATAACACATTTTCACTGGCTGAACTGTTGAATCACAGAACCCCAAGGTTTGTAGGACCACAACGAGCATCTAGTCCACTGCCCCACATGATGTTGCCTTTCTGGAACTTTCCGACAAGGGGCACCCTAACTGTTCCTTGAATACGCCTCCAGGAGCAAGTGCCGCCAGCGACACCGTGATCGCAGCATGGCGCAGCTCTTGGCTGAGGCTGTGTTCTTGCTCTGAGAGAATTTACTGCCACCACACTATCCTCAGAGAAAGACAGAGCAAATAGGCTGTTGTCCTTACTTTGCTGCCACAGAAAAGGGATTTTGATGGACTGCAACAAATTGCTTGTCCAGCGTGTTCAAGGTTTATCGGTGTCTAACGACCACAGGAAAAGCCGCCAACACCCATCCAAGCAGCACCTTGCGGCAGGCCAGGCCGCCTCTGACCGGGGGCCTCTTCCTCACTTCCTCCTGCTCCAGTCTTCCCCACCGCAGCAGACGGCACCTGCAGCCCACGCATTGCTTCAGCCAAAAACCTAGGAGTTATTCTTGCTGCCTCCCTCTTCCTCACCCCCACAACCAATCTGTCACCAAAGCCCGTGGATTATACCTCCAAAATACATCTCAGTTTTATCTACTTCTCTCCATTGCCACTACCCATGTCCAAACACTATTGTTTCTCATCTGGACCCCTGCTTTCATGACAGTCCCCCCAAAACACACACACACAAATACACATACACACCGCAGTCCATTAACCATCCAATACCCAAAGTGATCTTTTCAAAAGGTACACTTGATCATGCCATCTTCCTGCTTAAAAACCAAATTGCTTTCCACTGCCCTCAGAATATTATTAAAAGTCCTCTCTTTTAATGGAAGTCCAGGTGCTTCCAAGGGCCCTTGTGATGTGGCCTCAGCCTACCTCTTGGCCCCATCTTACAGAACTCTCCACCTTGTCCATCGCATTTTTGCCTCAGTGACCAGCTTCCGGTTCCTGCCTGCCCTGGGGCCCTCACCCTCCACCATCCTGGAATTGTCTCCCTGTGCTGCCTATCTTGTCCCTGCCCTGGCTCCATCGTCTTGCTATGGCTAGTTCCTGCTCTTCCTCCAAGTGTCGGCTTGGTGAATATCTGATGGACAGTCTTTCAGGCTGAAGGAACAGCCAGAAAAAGCCCTACCCAAGAGCATCTCTGCCATCCTGAGACCAGCAAGGGAGCAAGCATGGCTGGAACGGAATGAGCGAGGGAGGAGGCCACGGATGGCAAAGGCACAGGCCAGTGGAGGAGTCTAGGCAGAGGAGTTAAAAAATCGTGCTTGCATTCTAAAAGAATTGTTCTGTAAGCTGTGCTGAGCAAAGATTCCAGGGGATGGCAAGAGTTAAAGCAGAGAAGCCAGTTAGGTGGCTACTGCAGTGGTCTGGAGGCAAATGACAGTGGCTTGGACCATGGTGAAATGAGTAAGGGCTGTGAGAAGGGGCTGGATTCTGGATGCATCTTTGACAGATTGGATGTGGGTGTAACAGAACGCCCAGGATAAAGACTTCATTTCCCAGTCTCCCGGAAGCTGGGTGGAGTCACCTAATTCTTAATTTGGGCTCATGAGAGACAAGGAGAAGGAGGTGGGCAACTTCTCAAAGGGATGAAGCATGCCTTCCACTTCACCTCTTACCTCTGTCTTGCTGGCTGGCATTCAGGTGTAACGCTGGTAGCCACCCTGGATCATGCCAAGGAGGGCAACCCCTTAGGGAGCCACTAAGTGACCCATGGAAGAACGCTAGCCCTGCTCTGCAAATGCATGGCTTGTTACATGAGAAAGACACGCTGGCCATATTTAACTCATTTTCTTTAGATCTTTGTAAGAGAAGTCAAACGTTCGTCATACCTAAAATGATGGCCACATGGTGTTCTTCATCTCATCAGCTCCATCAGGAATTTATTTTGCAATCTGATGGTGTAGGTCAACCCAAGTGGACTATTTTAATTTAACTGCATTATTGTATTTAATTCTCGAAACACCACTGGGGATTAAGTGTTATTTTTCCACTCTTCTGTGACCACCCATCAGGTAAGGACCATATTTTAATCATCTTTGTATCCACAGCCCTTGTTTCTTCAGATCAGGGCCTGGCATCCAAAGGTGTCATTTGATGAATCAATGAGTTAACAAATGTAAGTGAAAAGTATGGTTCCCCCTTTTCAAGATGTTAAAAAGAAAGGTTCAACAGAGTTAAGTGATTTGATCCAGGTCACAGTTTGTAAGTGATGATGACAAATAGCCATGTCCTCTGAGTTAACACTTTGCTTCTTATTTTACTTAAAATGAGGGGAGGGAGGAGAAAGAGGAAGTAGAAAAGAAAGCTAAAGGGAAATAAAGAAAGAAGAAAAGAAGCAGTAAGCAGAGAGCCTGCCATTCTTCTGGGCTATCTTGTCTGAAGGGAAGGAAACAAGTGCACACAAGGATTTCCTCCACCCAGTGTCCTTGGGGTGTAGCAGCCTAACCATAGGGGTTCTCG